ACCACACAGTAAGTGGTGTACACCAGCCGTTGACAGGAGTGGCTCCAGAGACATGGTGGGGGGGGGGGGCTGAGTCGTAATTTTCAGAAAACTTTTGCTGTTATAATATGATTTCGGTATTTTTATTTTTGACAATACACATTTTTTTTAGAAATACGGGCTTGGGAGGGAGCCGCGGCCATGACCTATAATGTCAAATGCGTGTAACAATGTTTTGTACGTTTGCATGTGGGTATGTGGCGTTCAGGAAATCTGGTGCAGTCTTCACTCTACATCTATTTGGGGAAGTATCGAACACCGAGTTGTCTAACTATTGCTTAGGAACACGTTAACCGGGTGCACTCAGTAGCCAGCACTGATCTACAGTGAGACTCCACCCCCACCACTTGGTACTTGTCCATTTTTTGAATGTCTATCAAAATGAACGGATCACGTGTTTTAGATTTGGTCAGGTCAAACCACGGTTATCTTATGGGCATATATAAGATAACTATTTGGTTAAACTAACCCCATCGTAGCAGCTTCACTAGGTAGATTGTTTTCCGAACTCTATGAAACATTTAAAGGTATTCTGTCGATTGACACTCTATAATGTCCGACATATATTTAACTTGTTTTTGTTTCAGTTCCAATTAATTTATAGTCGAACCATTCATATATAAATAAAATAATATGATAACAATAATTGTAGTTTTTAAAGTCAATAATAAAAAAAACTTTTTAAAATACATAACATACTTTTGGCCACTAACTACTGACCTATATTATAGTATTATGATTTATTTCAACATATAGTACATACCTTCGATAATTTTAACTAATATAATATAATATTCGTCCTAAAGACTTAAACATACGCTTCAATATATTCTCAGTCAACGACAGCTGATATGTCGATCAACTGTTACACAAACACGCCTATTATAATAGTCAACAGTATTTCGGATGATTGAGAGTTAACCGAATAACTTCAATTACAATTTACAGATCGTTGTGTCGCTGCAGTGTCAACCTATAAAGTTCTAAACAGACATTTTGATTGATAATTATTCAAAACAATTTTTACTAAGCTAAATATTATTATATAATGAAATATGAATTGTAGTACCTAAAGTAAATTTTACAGACCAGTAATATTGCCACCTCCTCCTACAGTCCTACGGGATCTATCTCTCTCCTCAACCAGTAGAGGGAAAATATTCAAAATTAATTATTTTGAATTGTTAATTCATAACGACTGTCACTAACTTGTAACTATACGTATATGTTTACGCATAGATATAAAGTTTCGTCTTTGGATTATTCTAATTAATGTTTAATACGCATCACTTCAGAGTTCAGATATTCGGTTGATGTTTTTCAATATATTTAGTATTACCTATAAGTAATTATTATTACTTATTAGTCGTAATAATTAGTACGAGTTTAAAGGATTTTTGGTTTTGTTTATTATAATATAATTATACCTATAATCGTTTGAAAAATGCAGATTCAACAATGATAATATTTCGCAAACACGTCATATAATTTTTATAGCTCCGGTAGTAAATTTATTCTTTGATAAAAAGCTGCACTTAAGTCGTTAATGACCCGTCGAATAAAAAATGTAATAAGAATTTTTCCTCGTACGAGTAATCCTTGTTATACTTTAGGTACATTTTATGGTGCTATATAAACGATGAGGCTTTTATTGTATTCCGCATTGAGTGTCAAGAAGATATATTAATACCTAAATGTCATGCATCAAAATGTTAACGACTTCAGAGTTCAAAGGCCATATAAATATAACAAGACTAGTTACTAATTTCTTTACCAAAAATTATAATACCTGTGCGTTCGGTGTGCCTATATGTCTATAATTACAATAACTCAAATATATTTATCGTATAATATTGTATGTATATGTATAGTATAGGGTAAAGTAGAGTATAAGTGGTAATGTAGTATACTAGTATATCATGATAATCGACATCAATTAATAGGACGTGTCTCTACGGTACAATCACATTGTCTATTCGTCTAAAAGTCTGATCAATATAGTCGTCAGAGACTGAATAGAGCAGGGATGGAGAACCTTTTTGTACCAGCGTGTCAAATAAAAATTTTGGTTGGATTTTGTTTTTCCTGCGTGTCAACTAGTTCGATAACCCATCAATTTTTTTTCAAAAACTTATAATATTATCGAACTTTTACACATTCATGTGTGTCACTAAAATAGTGTGCGCTTGTCACTCCATGCCATAGGTTCGCCATCTCTGGAATAGAGTGTAGGTGCTTCGGAAAACACAACAACATAAGTTCAGTGCCGTACGACTGCAATTATAGTATAAAACATATTATCATTTATTTAACCGTCTCGTCGCGAAACACACGGCCGTGCAACAGCAGTGTGAGCAGCCGATATCGACCAATTATTATTAAATGTATCGCACTATTTACCTACTCTTGCGTTTGGTAATTAAGAATAACACACACACACACACACACACATACATACACACACGTCACACACCCAAACGCGCGAGCCTTGCTGTGCAGTTGTGTGCAATGAAGATCGTTGGGATTACAAATTTGACTTTAAACGCGAGTGCAGGACGTAAAAATCATTGTCCCAAATATTATTTGAATCAAACTAATTAAAAATCTGTACGTTAACCACATCGTTCATATAATGCATTGCCCATCATATTATTAATAAGTTAGCCCCCTTTTGACTTATTGAACTTATTTTTTATTAATTTATTAAGACCAAGAATTCGCTTCGCGTTGCCAATTGGTTAGTGTATTGTGTAATTATTTTGTTTTCAAACAATGACGGGTATACATTGAAACGGTTAGTGCACACTAGTGTGGCACGTACGGCTTATAGTTAGAAGTGACATTCGTTATCAATGGTCGACGCTCACAAATTCGAATATTCAACAGGTCTATATGCGTTAAAAAAAACACAGAGAATCAATACATTATAATTGTACACCGATAGTTAAAATAGTGAGTATTATTTGTAATTTCGTTATACATACATAACAAACCTATTATGGTATCGCCCATGAGTTACAATCTAACTGCAGTAGTACCTACATAAGTATTTCATATTTATATTGTATACCGGGTGATCCATTTAACTTTAGACATCAGTATTTCAAAAACAATCAACATTTTTTTTAAATTTTTGTTTTATATAATTTTAAGATTTTAAAAACAACATGCATTTTTATTCTTTATTTCAAAGGAGGATATTTTTTTTAAGAGTACTTTGGTAAATAAAAATCAAATGTAGTATGTTAATACTATTATATTAACATATGAGTTTTAACTCATCTCAACTTTAAATACTTATAACTACCTAATAAACAACTTGTACGAAATTTGATTTTTTGATATTGAAATACTACAAATGAAATAATGCTTCAAAATATGAAATAAAAAATGTATGTTATCCTTATAAAGAGTTAAAAGTCATAAAAAACCGATAACGATAACAAATTGGTAAAAAAAAATTGATAAAAATGTCGTTTTGTAACGACTTAAAATTATAAAAATATTTTCAAAAACATTAGTGCCTTCTGAATTAATCATCAGTGCGTTACGTTAAATGGTCCACTCCCTAGAAGTTTCTTGGAAAATATGCCGTTACAAGTTTAAGCAATTAGCTAAATTTTAAGCTATTATATATACATGCTATTTCATAGGTACTCACAATATCATTGTCTTAAAATTTGATACGCAGCACATTTTAAGGAATAAATTATACAATTTCGTATTATTGTTTATAATTATGAAATGATTCAAATAGGTAAACAAAACACGCATGAACAAAATATACCTATAAATCATTGTGGAAAATGTTCGATGTTTTTAATATAGGGTAGGGAATTGATTTATAGGTATACGCGGTTCAAGTTATTTTATTTCATCATATAAAATTTGGTCCGTGTAACCTAATTGTCTTTGTTATCATTATAATTAATATTATTCATCAAAAATAACTTGATTTTTGTACAACTTTTTTTTCATTCACAAATCACAATAAAGATCTATTTTATAGTTTATACAATAATCGCTCTGTATTGTAGTATAATACTATAGTGTATACAATAATTATATATACTAAAAATTTTAATTTAACTAGGTATTAAGTATCAAGTATGTTTTGTTATATTTAGATTTTATAGTTTATTAATATTATTAGTTGTTGATAACATAATATTATGTCGTGTACCTACGCGTGTACACATTTCAATAATTCGATTTGTTTAGTTATAAAATAAACATTTTATAAATATGCATAAACCAAGGTCGAGATTATAATAATTTGTTGTAAGGATCACGTTCTAACATGATACAAAATATTGTTATCACGGAGTACCTACTGAGTTATCAGCTATAGTGCTAAGTGTAATTGTAGTAATTGTACACCTACATATATTGTTCAGTTCTGAATTTCTCATACAGAGAGTTCGTCAATTTATATTTTATGCTATAATTTTTTCTCGTGCAACATAATTATTTTGAAACGAAACATAACACTAATAGTGAGAGGTTTTCTACAATATAAATAATAGACAAAAATAACTAAGGTATCAACAAATATTATATAATTTATCAACATATTCTTAATTTTATACTATGGGCAGGTCTAAGAATTTAATACTGTGAGCTTTACCAGTTCATCTTCTTTGTTTTTCGTTAATCCTATAATGTTTATTTGCGTATGTTAATCGTCGAGATACAATAATTTAATGTAAAAATCTCAATGAAGGAAAAAAACATCAACTGAGACATATTTCAGTGCCAATGTCATTATCTTATTATGAGTAATTTAAATCGGTCAAACTACGATGATAAACATTAAGACATCTAAACGTTTTGTTAATACCAGGTACTTATTGCATATTATGTATGTAGGTACATTATATTATGATATATAGATATATAGTACAGTCATACACTCGTACGCTGCAGCAGATAGGTAGGTACGCGTCTAAACAAATCAAACGTGGTGCCAGAAACGAAAAAAAAGACGCGATTATTTAGATAATTTCGTTAACAAGACCTTAGTGCCAAATAAGTCATCAGCAGCACGTCACAATCGTTGCGACTTGCGTCTCGAGCTCAATAATTACCGATCGTCTTTCGAAATAAATCCTTGAAAGTTCGCTTCTCACACTACCAAATTTTCTCTTCTTATATTGACACATTTTTAAAATTTTGGAATGTTTAATTTTTTTGTTTTTTATACTTGACGTTATAATCGATTTATAGGTAACCTACTACCTTCTACAAGTATAGGAGGTGTCCTGTAGGTACCGTCGAATTCAAATTCAACAATCTCTTATAAAGTAGTTACATAACCGCTTGTGAGTGCTGATATTTTTACAATTCACTCGCATTATACATTAATACCTAATAAAAAGATTATCGGTTTTATTACGTTAAACCGCAATTCTTTTTCCTTATTCAAATATTTGTGTCTGTTCAACGAATTCACTTGTATTTATATGGTATCTTTATCAAATGCGTTTATCGCTGTTTTACAATAGTATGTTGCTAAAATATTTGTTATACTATATATTACTGGATATTATGTGCTTATAGCTTGTAAATAAATGGACAACCCGAGGTATGAACACGACAATGGCCCACAGCAAAATTCAACCGTCATCAATGGCAATCTACAGTTAAATAATTGTACAGGAAACAATGATATTACCTGTAAGTATCGCATACCTTCAAAACTAAGCTACTTCATTAGAAATTAACTGATGATTAATTTCGAAAATAAATTTTGACTATGCTAGTCACCAGATTAGTAAATTAAATTCGTTCTAACTTCTAATTAAATTTACATTTAGGTACTATAAAGTAATTTAAGATACAAGATCAATCCGAGATGATTCTATTTGACTTCAATATGTTTTCATTATGAAAATATTTTAAGTTTAATATATAATATGAGTTGTATGAATAAAGCTACTATTAGTATTCAATAGTTCTATACTACTCTGTTATTAGGTTACACAGACAATAATGTCGGTACATTTCTCTCGTGGTTTTGGTCCTATAGTTATTTATTTTATATCCAGGGCGTAGGCTCTACTCCTCTAGCACTAATGCACTATTAAGGAATAAATTTATAATGATAGAAACCTAGTTATGTATATATATATATATATATCCGATAATCTGTAATTATATCCTAAAATCATTGATTTTCCAAAATGTCAAAGATCTACGGTTTTAGTAGATACTAGCGAGAACCGAGGATTGAATATTAAATGGTCTAAACTTTCCATTCACATTTATAAAACCTGTATCGTAAATTATTACACAATGTACTCTGTCATAATTTTATTCAAATTAATTGTTTTTAGTAGAACAAAGTGGTGTACAAACGTTTTAAAAAAAGAACTGTGGACAGAGATTTAGTATTATTGTACCACGATATAATATATAATATACTAATATATCCACGAGTATATAATATGTAATGCATATTATGATTGATGGAGCTTTTATATTTAAAACTATTTAAAACATTTAGATTTAGTTCAACTGTTCAAGTTTGAAAAAAAATCATGAAACGTAACAACTCTAGATAATATAATATGATTGAGTTTTTATTTTTCTTAGTGGCAGTGGACGACGTGGAATCGTCAAAACTTGCTTCTAACCAGAAGACGACATTTACCCAACACTCTAAAGGTACCTGTCTAAAAAATCTAACCACTTTTACCAAAAGAAAACTATTTATATTGCAATGGATTCCCGCTTACTCGGGTGATGATTTTCTTGGTGATCTCTTGGCCGGCATAACGATCGGCTTGACTGTAATACCTCAATCAATGGCATTGGCGAGCATAGTCGGAATACCAGCTCAGGTATGTGGAGTTAGGTCCATCGCAATGGCACGTCTTATACAGACGTAATTGAGTGGAATTTAGCTTTTACAACAAATCAGCATTATTTTTTTTTTAAGTAAAAAACGTGGAATTTTGTAATTTAATTTAAAGGGTATAGATCATTTAATCATTATAGTATTGATTAAACATGCGGTGTACTGTGCATAATCAATGATGATCGATCATAGTTATCAGTTATCATATATTTTTGAAATTATATTCTAGCTGTAAAAGTATATTGCAATCCATCACACTGCACCATTTTATTTGACAACATATGAAATACATTTTTTTTCCAGTATGGTCTTTATAGTTCCTTTATAGGGACATTCATTTACTTACTGTTTGGCACAAGCAAAGTAGTTCCAATGGGACCCACCGCTATCGTGGGCCTGCTGATTAGCAACACGATCGGGACTCGGGGATCGGCGTACGCGACGTTGTTGTGTTTCCTGACAGGCATCATCCAGACGCTGATGAGTTTCGCAGGCTTGGGGATTATTGTTAACTACATATCCGTGCCGGTGTCCTCGGGGTTTACGTCAGCCTCAGCCATTCTTGTCATTACCTCGCAGGTGAAAGACCTGATTGGCGTCAAGGGTGGTGGAGGAAACCTGTTGAAGATGGTCCGAACCGTATTGGATCACATCAGTAACATCAGCACGGGAGACACTGTCATGGGCTTCACGTGCATAGGGGCAGTCATGCTCTTAAAGGTATACTATAATATAATATGTACTTAATAATGTATGGTAGTCACGTGTTTATTATTTCACTGTTCACGAATTAAATATTACTTTTTATAATTATATGTAATTGGAAACAAGGACTGATGTTGTAGCGATAAATAGGTTTAAGTGTCGCACTATATTGATGAGCATATCGTTTAAATGTCAAGTAGTTTTACACGCATACATGGATACTTGGTTTGCATAGACATACCTGTATATTATAATGTGTTATTAAAATTAAATTTTCTTTTAAGATATCAGTTTATTATATTAAAATATATTTGATGTTTATTATGTATAGGTACATTTATAGAATAACGCTATTTTTAATGATTAAAATATAGTAAAAATAGTAAAATATAATTTTATTATCTATACATTGTGTGTAATACACTTATACCATTGCTTGCACTTATATATATAATGCATATATAAGTGAAATTAGTAAATGCTATACCTACGTATATATATTTAAAGTTTTTGAATATCATCATTTTTTTTTCTCCTTTAAAAAAACTCATGACTGCTCATTGTATACTTTTCCTTTTGAAAACTAGTGCCTTTATTTGTGTCCATCTATGTTTCACACGTGTATTTTACTACGGGGCGTAATTTATTAGCCTCCAAGGGTCACACTGTTGCCATAAATAGTTTACCCATCATTCACAAATAAATTTCACATTTCACCTACGGGCAAATATGTAGTTTATTGTGTGAAACCTCGGTTTAGTTCTTCTTGACAGTAGTTTTGATAATTACACCATATAATTTATAAATATGTATATCTATAATTATTCTAAATTAAAAATAATATATTATGTTGAATGTTGATTAATTTGAATATAATTAATATATATACTTTTTTTAAGGCAATCTTAAATAGTTAAATTGCATATTAAAATAGTTTACAGGTGTTAAGCTTTTTCTCAATTATTATATTATGAATGTATCCTAATGATGTATTTTTTTTTAGGCCTTCAGTACTACGCGGATAGGTCCAAAAGAAGAAGAACTACAAACTCTGTGGCAAAAATATGTAAATAAATTCATCTGGGCGATCGGTGCATTTAGGAATTCATTTGTAGTAATCGTATGTAGTATTATCTGTTATTGGTGCGTACATAAGACAAACCACGATATTACGTCAGATTGGCCGCCACCAATCCCGTTCAAAGTCATCGGTATGTAAATTACCAAGTTGTACTTTATATAATATATTATAGTATAATAAATAAAACTAAACTTAGTTGTATACTTATAATATTATGGAATTATAACAATAAATCAGATTGGAGTAACGACATAATATATGAGTATAGGTTACTATGTATTTTTGATAAAACTTTTCTATAGAACATTTTTTAGGAAAATAATTTTAAATTTGAGAATAAATTAAATTTAAGAATTTACTCTTATGCACATTTTTTGTATATGTTTGTAACTAAATTTATTATTGGTTTCAAAATAAAAAAACACCAAGTTATAGGAGTACAATAGGTGATCTATGTACTATGTACATATAAATTCGGTACTTAGAAACATTACACTATAGGTTTGCATGTTGCGTATTACAATGCATTTGTGTACCATAAAGTAGTATACAAATTACAAACGATTAAAAACATTGTATATATTAAACGATTTCCATTATTTTTACAACTAATTTACAACAAATTATCTCTCACTCAATATGTTTATAAATTAAATAGGTACTTATTATTAGTACCTAATTAATAGTTACCTAATAGTTACCTTTATTGTTAAATACAATTATTATTCAAGAGATTTTCAATTTTAATGATTTAAACCAGTGCCATCGGGTGTTATTACTTATAAAATATAATATAAATAGTATTGAAATCTTAGGTAAATTATTACTGTATTGATCAACAGTTTTTTAATTGAATCTACGGACAAATAAATGTACATCGAATTACTGATTTTTCTAATTCATTTGAAGACTATTATGACTAAAACATATGTTTCTTTCAAAAAATAGTTTACATACTGGCTGTATATTTGATTTACAATATTGTGAACTATCTAGTCATTAATTTATAATAATTACCAATTCTAATTTCTAAGTCGTTCCTGTGACTTTTTCAAGGCAAAATTCCCCACGGATTGCCACATTTTCAGTGGCCGGAGTTTAGCAACAAGGACGAGAGTTTCTTCGACATCATTTTCTTCATGGGCTCAGGAATCATTGTGATACCACTCATATCGTTACTCGAAAACATATCTCTTTGCAGAACGTTTGGTAAGTCCCATATTACTATAATTAAACAGCTATGTAAATAGTAAACTAATTTACATACTTCTAAAACATAATATTATATAGAAACAAATATATTAATAACAAAATAGGTATCAGAAATATTATATCTTTTACACTTGGTTAGAGACTTAGAGTAATAATATCAAACTCACTCACTGCCTTCTCTCTTCAATGGGGCTGCTAGTGATTCAAATATTCTTAACACAGTTTTTAAATTAACAAAAGTATACATTATTGTTGTGGTATAATATTAAGTGTCACATGATAATATTATATAGGTAGGTATATAATTATTTTACACAAAAAGTTATGGTGGATTTTATTTGGAAGTGCTTTTGTAAATGCTATTAACCTGTTAAAGTATAAAGTTGGTATTACAATTTTTCCGAATGCAACATAATTGCTAACCTAATGTGCGTATTTTAGCGGAGGGTAAGCCAGTGGACACGGATCAAGAATTATTGGCAATCGGTTTGGCGAACCTCGGCAATTCGTTTTTCCATGGTTTCGCCGGGTCTGGAGCCATTGCCAGAGGAGCGCTCAACTATTCGAGCGGAGTGCGGACGCCACTTGGAGGCCTATACACTGGTAATTTTTTTTTAATGAACTTCCTTAGGATATATTGGTACATCACCACGTGTTTGCAAAAAAATTGTAATGGAATTTAAAGTTTAGGACTCACTGTTATGGCGGCATTGGTGTTCTTGACACCGTATTTCTATTACATCCCAAAGACTTCACTGGCTGCTGTTATAATCGCCGCCTCGTTTATGATGGTCGACGTCAAGATGGTCAAACACATTTACAGGTCAAAAAGTAAGTATATTATGAACATTTTTCGATTATGTTCTAGAATTACACTGTACTTTTAAAATGATATTGGACCATACATAATAGAATAGCGAGGAGGCAATATATCTCAGTGACCATAGGGCATAGCCCCAGTATGAACATTTAGTACCTACTATGTACAAATAGAAGCTAATTCGTTTAAATTTCCCAAAAAATGTAATAAGTAGGTAATTATAACTACGAACCTCCCTTCTTCCACGAATATATTATAAATCAAAATAATTTTTAACTCGTTCTTTCACTTTTGGCAAAAGTGTATAATAGGAATTACCTATAATAAGTATTCCCTAGAAAAATCAATTAAGTTTACCAACATATTCACCAATGTATCCAGCGCCACCACAATGGGAGAGGGGGAACCGTTTAAATGAATTTGTTATTTTTTAAATTTTGATAGGAATACCTACTTATTTTTTATTAAATGGAGACCCAACATTTTATGTGGGGTGCTTCAGTGCTTGAATGTAGGTACCTATATTGCGCCAATGTAAGAACTTGGATCTAGAAAATGAAAATCCCGATAAAAACAATTGTTAAAGAAAAAAAGTCTTCAAGGCAACTGATTAATAATATATTATGAAAACATAATTAGGTATACCGTATACCTAGAACTATTGAAATTCGTCAATACTACATGAGGTACCTACTTAATATTCACATATTTTTACATTATAACAGTCAATAGTACACACGTGTTCCATAACCCTACAGTCCCAAAACCCTACAGTACCACTACCTACAGCTAATGGCCTCAGTTGCCGAGGCTTAACAAAAAAATAGTCAATAGGTTATTCAACAAATCATAATAATGCAAAGAAAAATTGTTATTATTGCTTAATCTAATATTTTAATTAAGATTACCTTAACATATTTTTTTCTCGATCATTGAATACTTATTAGTTATTGGTATATCTCATCGTCAACTCAAATGCAACTTATAAGAAATAACTAATAACTTATAGAACTTCTCTCCGTTCCAATAAAAATATTTGAGTAATTGAGTGCCTAAATAGTTAATGTGCGCATGACATATTAATAGAAGGTTCTCTCTTCGATTCGAGTACATTAAACGATAATATATTACTACCTATACTAGCTCATTACTGGCTCAGTCGAACAATGACTTTTTCTCGCCTCGATAGTATTACGCCATCTAAAAGCGAAAAGAGGTATTGAACAGTAAATGATATTAATTCAGTAAAAGGTAAAACCTGTGTACAAAAGACAGTCACGTCTCACGGAACCATCACAAGTGTCCGTTATAGACCGACACATTTGAATAATTATCTTTTTTTCCGAGACATTTTCATTTATCACTGTCCGTTCGAGAGAAGCGTCCGTTAAGACGGGTTTCGCTGTATTTACACATATTTATACCTATAAATATGTCCCTATTATTATAATTAATATTATTGACATGCTATGCGTTTCCTTGACTGTCCGCAGAAAGAGATTTGGTACTTATGTTGATCACGTTTTTTGCGTGCTTGTTTCTTCCATTGGAATACGGTGTGCTCATTGGCATCGTTGCAAACGTCGGGTTCATAATGTACAGTGCTGCCAAACCCAAAATATCTATCCAAGTGCAAAAGGTCGGATCCGTCGTCGACGTCATAATTAAAAACAAATATTGTTAGAGCAGAGGATTTCAACATTTGCATATTATATTTTGTTTTGCGCAATCGTAGAAAAAAGGTCTGAAAAGTACAAATTTGTTTCATGGTATGACAAATTCCAATATGAAATTGTATGTATCATATTTTTCCATCTTTAGGCGTTTTTGATTTTTGAGATATATTTATCTTTATTGTTGTGCTTTTTTTGGCAAATTTTTTTTTAATAATCCGTATCAAAACAAAAACCCCATTAGTCTATGATGTAGTTCATCAAACAATCAGTGTAATATCAGTTCTTTTTCCTAATAAATAAGCATACAATTCACAGTTGCATTCAAATAAAAAGTTTCTTTTATTTATTTGGCAATTATACAAGTATAAAATATAATTAAATTATTTTTTTATTTAACTGCGTTTTCTTATTTTTGATGCTACTTATTTTATCAACGTATACCTATTAAATACACCTTTAAAACAAATTGAATTACATATTTTTACTTTTTAGAACATATTTTAAGATTTTTAAGCGCATAAGTGCTTGCATATTTAGTGTGCTTTATTAGGGCTGTAAGTCCTCTGCTCTCATTATTTTTATACATCAATCGTACATTCGTACCCATACTCATGATTTCGTATGCTGAATTTGTTATTTTTGTTTCTTAGAACCACGACGGGATCAAATACTTGTTGCTGACACCGGACAGGTACTTGATATTCCCTTCGATGGAATACGTACGACAGACGATAACCAAACACGGCCTCGCTCTTGGGATCCCAGTAGTCATCGACGGTTCCAGTATATTTGAGGCAGATTTCACAACTGCAAACGTATGTACCACAATATACAAGGCGTGACACATAGACCTGACCAAAAAAAAAAAAAAAATGATGCTACCTTAACTCTAACACATATTTTTAACATTATATGAGAAGTAAATAATTTAAGAAATATACTCATGTCAGCAAATTTCCTAAAAAATTTAATATTAAAAAAAAATTCTAAAAAATAAACTACTCGACTTAGATAAATGTTTTTACTATCTAAATTGTTCTTATAGTCAGATTCACAAATTGGCTATTTTGAAATTGCCAAAACGTTAAATTTTAAATTTTAATAATTAGTATTAAAAAATAAAAATATTTTTTTTATACTATGCATGTAGCGTAAGTTATTAAAAATTAAATATAAAACAAAAATTTTAAATATTGATTATAACAGAAGTTATTGTATTAGTCGATTCTATCTGTTACACTCTGTATACCACGTTATATACCGATATACGCACACAGAGAGTGTGTAAGACTGCATACCTTGAACGCCTTCTTTCCGAATGTATTATAAAAGATGGGTACAAAATAATATCATCAAATCATTATGACTTTTTGTCTTGAAGCACAAACAAAAATTAAATAAATATGTGTGATACTATGTAATGATTATAATTGCAGTTGGATTTCAAAACCATTTTCTACCAATATTATTTTTTAAATATACAGACAGATAACATATTGTTATGTTTTCAAGTTTATATCATCAAGTTTCAGATAAAATATTCAAATTGGTCTCAAAATATGGGCTGTAACCTAATATTAATTTATTTGAGTAATTAAAAAAAATATATTTCTAATATTTATTTTGTTATTCTCGAGGACAATTGGTAATTTGAGTTCGGATTCATTATATAAAGGTCATGCACTCTGAACTGAATTTTACGGGTGCTACTGATATAACTTCCCACTAAAAGTCAAACAGAACTTTGGTAGATACCTAATAATAATACTTATATATATTTTTTTTTTTCACAGGTATTTGCCATGATGTCGCGGGACTTTTCAACAAAAGGCCAATTTTTATACTTGTATAATCTAAAGCCCAGCGTAGCAAATGTATTCAAAGGACTAAAAAATTGTAATATTTTGTTGTGTGCAAATAAAAACGAGTTAGACGAACTGCTCAGAAATCATTTGCAAGTTTTTAAATATTTTTCTAAATACCCGTTGCTTGGTTTTGTTTTAATTGTAATATTTATTATTTATTTATTTTTTTGTAGTGGACCGTCACAAATTCAAGAACAATATCAAAACGAAACAATTTGGACTTCAAAAATGTGAACTTAAAGCAAATGATCTTTGAATAAAATGCAATATATTGATTTCAAATAAATTAAAGGATATCGGACAATATTGAAGATATATAAGATATTTTGAAAACGAAACGAGTTGGATGTAATTATTTGATTGAAATATAATATCATCATTGATTATAAATCAATGTAGTATACTAAGCTCTTATCAGTATACTTTGATCAATAAATAAATTTTATATAATCAATGATGGTATGGCGTGTTCTACCACGTAAAATATAACTTATAAACATATTATATCTTATTATATTATTATATAATTAACGGAGCTTAAATTTAAGTACAAATTTATATCAAGTGGTGTTTCCTGTTATTGTGTATTTTATATTGATAAATAAAACAGTATTATTATAATTTATAATATTTAATTGAGCATTTGAGCCCGTACAGATATAAGTCTGCCAATAACATCATAACTATTTTAAATTATCTTCAAAGATATTAAAATACGAAGGGCTCATCCATTTGATAGAAATCAAGGTGTATATTTTACTAAATTTGAATTTATTTAGCTCTTTAGAAAAATTTAAAAATTCTTAAGTTTCGTATTTACGATTAAACTATTATTTTCATAAACTTAATAATTATACGGGGAAAAAAATATTCGTAGTTTTTATTTATTATTAAAAAACCTTTTTTTCTCAATATCTTACAGACCACAGCTATCTCATATTGTTATATTTTTTTATATAATACATCAGGTACAGGTTACTTGTAGCGGCAGCTACAGCAAAAATGTTATCTCACGGCGTTTTACATAGACAATTTAGCAGCACCCTTGTTGTGAGTCAATCACTCAATCATAGCCATAATTTGGGGGGATTTTAGTACAACCCTAATTTTTTTCATATTAATTGACATTTTTATTGTCATTATGCAGGTATCCACAACCATGAGATAATATGAACAAAATTAAGGGACTTCAGCACCCTCAGTTTTTTCATTGAAATTGCGCCCCTGGAGTCCATACAATAATATTGTAATAATAATTAGTTGTAAGTCTATCGCCTATTATAATAGTCTAAGGCTGGTAGTATTTCAAAGTTGATACATATACAACTAGATACTATTTTTGCACCTATACTGATTTTTAAATAACTATATCAGTCGGTAAAGTTTAACGGTTATTATGGAATTGGCATGGTTTTGGGTGCATTCAATGTCAATACATCAAGCCGAAAAATCAATGCAAAATTAGTGCCGATTGTCCTTCTACCTAGGTATTGTTCTATAGAAGAACTGTAGGAGGCAGCTTCGGGAGGAATCCAAGTAAGTATACAATATTTGAACCATAAGTCACAATCCTGTTAATGCTCTTTTGATTAATTTTTTTGTCTGAATATTTTTCGAGATCAAAAGTGGTACCTAAGCTGAAACGGGCACTCTATGTATCATATTTTATATCATGTTATTTTTCTACGTGACCTGTTACAGACCACCCCAGGCGGACCTAACAATTGATAAGCTTTTGATCGCAAACAATATATTAATATAACTCAATACTTAATTTTGACACTGTCTCGAAATTCGAATATTTCGCGAAACCTTTGAAAAAACAAAAGGGTAACAAAGGTATTAAAGTGACGACCACGGTTCAAAAACTCAAGGTATCAAATTTTAATTTTTAAACCATCAGCTGACCACCATTGTTATCTGCACGCTGCACCATATTGTGACCGTAATATTATGACGTGACCACCATATTATTATCCTGCGTTATCACAGTGAAGTAATTTACTGATTACGGAGCATATGATTTTCATTATCGTGTGTATTTATTAAGTCGAAGTATCGAACTCTCTTGCAGAGTTGCAGACGTCCCGTGAACGTGGGCGATTCGTACTTCGTATTCTTTACATTCTTCTCTAAATGAAGACTGTCTAATTTCGACTAATTTTGTAAAAATTAAAATGTTTTTTTCAGTTTAGAACATACTTAACTAAAAAAATCACCCAGTTAACGTGTCTATTAGACGAGAATAAAAAAGGAAATTAGGATAGGTACATCATTTAAAGTTCTCCAGTGAATATTTAAAACAGTTTCGACTTCTTAGACTTTTTTCAGTTCAGTTCACTTCAAAAAATATTAAAATGGCTGCCGATACTCTGCGAGTTTTAAGGTAAGATATTAATATTTCTATCAACAAGCGTTATTTAGGTACATGAATATCTTTATAATATAATCATTTTTTTTCAGGAAAAGACCTTTAGAAGAATATGATGATGACTATAAACCTTTGTCAAAACGAATGCACAGCATGTATTTGAAAGATGGTCCACTTGCTGGGGAAAACCATTCAGCAGTCACAAACGCCTATGGTGTAAGTATTTTTATTGTTATTTGAAATTTTTAAAATGCAAATAAATATTTATTGATTAAATATTTATCAACTTTTCACATAATTTCATTATTTATTGGTTATCAGATTTTCACTACAATTTAATAAAATATTAGGTAGGTAGGTACTTAATAAATAATAACTTGAATCCAATCGTTATTTAAGGTTTTACTAAGAATAATTCAAGGTTAATGTTATAAAATGGTTCTTAACCATCAGTATTTTATCGATATTTACTTGTATAGCAGGTACCTACTAATCGTTATTTATTAACTATAAAATATTTTAATTTATGTGAATAATAACGTTGACTAAATATTAATTGAAGTTTGCCAAAACCTATATATATTAGCTTAATTTTACTTAAGCAAGAGTGTTGGTATACTTAATTGTAAATACTTTTCAATTAACTATGAAGTAAAAATTCTATTTGAATTCCCTACTTGTATTTTTTAATATTTTGATAGCAGAATGAGATCATTTGACATAATATTACCTTCTTAATGTCCCAAATTTATTTGATTTGTTATTAAAATAGGTGAGTTAATTAAAATAAAATGATTAAGCTCTCCCCCCTCTAAAAAAATAAAAACAAGGGGTGTCTGGTAAAGAAGAAAACTTCTGAATTATCAAGCATGCCTCCCAAAGAGAAATATTTGTCACATTGTATCGCTGTGGTATGATAACTATAATTTAACTTAAATAATTAACTGTATTATTTAAGCCTTCAAAATTTTGATTCATATTAAGTATATAACTTAATAGGTAATATTAAAATTAAAAACCTTAGTAAATATTTAATATGGAATTGATATCAAGTAGTAACTAGTAACTACAGTGAAGTCCCACCAAGTATTGGATTTAATCTGACCACTATCAGATTTCTTAGCCAAATAAATTTATTATATATAGCTCACAACACCAAAACAGCAGTTCCACAAATATGCTTATTTGTATGCTATATATTTATTAGAAAGAATATGAATTGTTTGTTTTAGTAATTAATTTATAATTTCAAGCAACTGATAATATTTTATTATACTAATTGTTACAATCTTTAAATCCGGTTTATAGAATGCATCTACATCAGCACAATATAGCCAGCAAACAGTCACTGATTTTAGTCATCCGGCTGTAAATAGTCAACAAAACATAAGAGTTGAAGACCCAGAAAATTTGCATTATGATCCAGATCTGACTTCTGATCAAAATCCGTTCTACTATGAGAGCAATAGATTATTATTTGACCTTCATGTTGAAAGGGTTCATCGTCATGGTCAATAATAATTTTAATTTACTCTACAATAAATATTTGTTTCACCCTAAAATTAAAATATTTACTGACTGTAGTCCCTCATGGCATAACATCATATAATAATATGCCAACTTTGGTTTGGCTATATTATTACTTCAACTTAGTGTTCATCTATTTATGTTAATTTTTCATCAACTAGTAATGAACATATTATATTTATAAAAATTTGTTGACATCATGTTTCCTATTTTAGCCATTTATAGGCTTAAAAATATAAATTTTAGTTTTAAGGAACGAGATGGATTATTTTGTTAAGAATATAAATTTAATTTTTAATAATGCAATAATTCTATAGATATTGAAGTACATCTAATAACAGTTATTTATTTAGTATACTAAGTTAATTACAATTTATTATTGTGTATTATTTGTCTTTATTTTAAATTTAAATTTATTCCCAGGGGCCAATTCAAAATATGTCATTGTTGTGTGATTCATTAATATTAAGTTAGTATTTGCTTATTTTTGTTGCTCATTTTTACTTGTAATTACCTATTATAATGTGTATATTTTTTTTTGTTTTTTTTATACCGATAAATATTTTAAAAGGTATATAAAATATAAATCCATACAATTCAACTATACTTAACATTAATGCTGTAATATTATTTATTATTTATTTTTAATTTATTCCTTTAAACTATTTGGAGAATGTCAATTTTTAATTCCAAATAATAAGAACTTAAGTATTATATAATTATGCATTTTTAGTTATTGCTATTATCAATAAAACAACGACAAAAATATTCGAAAATTTAAATCTAACATTATTAAACACACATTTTGTAAGTTATATACTTTTGATAAAATATTATACCTACTTAAAAACAGATTTTGAACACCAATTACAAAATTGTCATTGTCTGGATGAAATTAATTATTAATGCTTAACATATGTACCTATTTAAATATAATATTTTGAAATAAAAAAACTTCTTAAAGCCTATTAAATAGATTAAGTTATTTATATCAATACTGTTATTTATTAATATTATTGAACCTATAGACATTAGAATCTAATACTATAAATGAAAGAAATAAAGTGCACAATTATATTTTATTTTAAGAAATTTAGCTTGTAAAAAAATGTTCTTATACTTGTAATCTGTAAGCAAAAAATAAATTATTAATATGATTACTAGACACCATGCGTTTTATATTATGAGGCTCAAGTAACCAATGGTGGTAACCAGTTTAAAAATGATGGTTATAGTTTTCATTGTATACCAGAGGTATTCAAACTGTGCACAGTGGCTCCAATATGTACTCACATATTTTGTTCCATTCTGGTTATTAGGTAAGCTATTTTCATAGTCATAAATGTCAATACTTCCAGATTGGAGATGATTGCAGCCTGCAGGGTACGTGTTTCGCCAGAACCACAAATAATATGTAGGTAAGATTTTTCCTTCTACTCTTTTGACAAGGTAAACCTAAAAAAAAATAGCAATTGTCAGGCAAACTAGTACCTACCAGACGTAGAGTAATTTTAGGCGTTCAAAAATTTTGATATTATGTAAAATACCTTAAATTTTACCATAACTGTCAATTTTAAATAAATGATTAGGTAGTACCTATTTAAGTAGGTAGTTACATACCTATCACAGTTTTTTTATTTAGATATACCTAAGACAGTGCTAGTGTGCTACTTATCCAATAAAATAAGAAAATATGTTAATGTTAAACATTTGGGCATTATGAGAACACTGCAAACGTATTTCATTTTAAGGTCTTATAAAGTAAATTTTCTTCAAATGTTCACATCTCATTATTTTATAATGCATAAATTGAATAAATAATGTATTACTAATTTACTAATTTATTAGCATTTTTAAGTACCTTTGTTATACACTTGGATCCGTATTAATCGAGAAAAAGAAGCATGGGGCAGGATAGTTATTTACAAGAAAATACTCACTAGACATAGTATTAAAAAGGAATATTATTTTATAAAAAAAAATAAAGAACAAGATTTTTATTGTCGCATAACACTGTTATGTTGAAATAATAAGTAGCGGGAAGTTAACAACAGGACCGTATAAATCGGGACAGTTTTATGCGAGCCATCATGGGCTGATTAATAATATTAAAGGGTAAATTGAAAGACAGGACGGTATATACATCTTTACAGTGTCTATATATTGAGGATGTCAGTGCCGATTGAAGAGGTGGTTACCTATCAGGAACGTTATTGAAAATAAATGATCTGACCTGCAAGTTTAATACCTAGCTATAAAAATTGTTTTCAAAAATCACCCCAACCTTTTTCCTGTGTTCACCCCTGCTCAACTGTATTTTGTTGTACTTGACTGTCTATAAAAATGCGTCATATTTATGCTCAACCGTTAAAGTTCACATTTAGCTAATCACCAAATTACTTTATTGTTTAAAGATCATAGTGAATTGAATAATTAGATATTTTGAAAATTATTGGGAGCAACTAACAATAATTCATTAACTGTGTTTATATTTTACATTTTTACCTATATGTAAGTTTTTTTTTACAATATTTCAATTTTTAAGCGAGTTATAAATATCTATATGATTGTTAATACTTTAAAATCATTTGTGATTATAAGAAAAAAAATTCAAACCAACAATGTTTTTATACATTTTTACCTTCTATGTACATAAAAATAGAAAAAAAATTCAACAAACATTAATAACTTAAATTATAAATTACTATAAAAATAGAAGTTTTTTGAAATTTATTGCTGGAAGATTTTAACATAATAAAAATTTCATCTTTGCATATATTATGTTAATGGTCTCTTCTTCAACAAGCAGACAAAGTTAAGGGTCAAGATATCGTTGGCTTATTGGAGATCAAAGTTTATTTTTTTAAATTAAGAACTGAAAACACGAAATGTGTAAGAATGTAAATGGCTATACAGAATATCAATATGTTTATTAGATGAACCTGAAATTGTTGTTTATTTTTTTTTAATATTTCACTCACGACTCACTGATTTCATTATACATTTTCCAATTTGGATATGGGCCCCCAAATCCCAATACTGAAAAATATGAATATCCTAGGTGTATCGATCGCTGTGCATGACACGACGATCGGTACCACAATAATTATTTAAACGTTCGTCCAATCTGGAGATGTCGTTCGTGAATGATATTTAAATAACTTGAATACTTTTATTATTACTTTAAACAAAATAGAATTGTTTACTCATATAAGTTACATTTTTAAATAATTAGGGCAATTAGGCGTACCCGCGCACCGTCGTAAGCTCAGTATAGACGTTAGACTGATGGACCGTACGTCCGTACATCGTATACATGGCGCTGCGTCAAAATAGAGCCCTTCAGCCCTCCATCGTCCTACGGTCCTTGGCAATCGCAGGGTGTGCCAAGTCATTAATGAATAAATTAAAATTCCCTTTACAATAATTAATTTTTTTAACATTTCAGAACAAATTTACCAGAATTCGACCCCTGATGTGTTTTCTACCAAAATAGACCTATCGTGGGCCAATCGGCAATCGTACTGACTACTGACCACAAGAACCATTATACATTATAATTTAGTGAGGTGTATTAATTTTTATAATTAATACTTTTCGAGAACGTGACATTAATCATTTTTATTCTCAATCTGCAGTTTTCTAATCATTACTAATTACTTTGTTAAAAGTTTATTCATAAACCCATAAACTAATTCCACTTGAACCCTGGCCAAAATGCTATATAATCATATAACTGGAGAAGAATCAAAGAACATTAAGTAGTGAAAGAGCCCACTAAGGACGTGTATACATTTTACTACTTTGTTCCTTTTCTCGCTCATTCAATATAGGTACTCGTATAGTCGTATCGAAGTATCCCTGACTTCTCTCCTGTCCATTAGCTTAAAGATTTAGATTCTGAGCAGATCAATGAATGTAGGTCCTTATTGATTTTACAATGTGTGTATGTGATTTTTTGTGTAATCACCTTTGAGACAATAAAGTGTTTCAATTTTCAGCATTTTTATGTGGTAGAAAAGTTATGGAAAAATGAAGATTTTTACGTAAAACCAGTTTTCAACATATTCGATTTTGATTTTTGAGGTAACTCCATAAAATATAACTAGGTATTGACACATTGCCATTTTACCGAATGTTTGCATTAGAATTTTCTATACCCCACACAATTTTCAAAATAATTTGACTCTTTTGAGCTATTTATATTTTTTAGGCATCAGAAAACGTCGATGACTATTAATTATTAGTATTTTTAATGGCAAGTTATAATTATAATATTAAAATATATCAAAGACTTATTGACAAATAAATAAACTCAAAGTTAAAAATTGTGTTTATTTTTCAATTAATGTTCAAACCTATTGAACATAATAACGTAATACAATAAAATACGAATACCTATATGATTAAAATAATAAATCATAATATAATCTTGCCCTTTGGTTTATTTCTATAAAATATATCTATAAAATACAATATTATATACATCATATAAAATAATATTATGCTCCACCTATTTTATATCCATACTATTAACTATATATTTACATTTAAATACATTTTTAAATATTTAATAGTACATTTAACCATTAGAACTTGAAATAAAATAGGCCCCTACTCGAACGGGGCTCTCTCTGTTGACAGATTTCCGAACTTCTGTACTGACTACTGACGTACATTTTGGTATCCGTTTTGTTAATTTTTACTTGTTACATTCATAAATACATTGTGATTTGTGAGAATTGGTGAGATAAGGAAGTGCCCGGTAGTGGCGTCCCTTATTTTCTCTACATTGCGCTCTACTCTATCGTATAAAACTAAAATCGCTAACTTTGTAAGGATATAGTTTAATATACTAAATATAGGTAGTAGTACTAAACTACTAATTCCAAATATATACTACCAAATTATGATTTTAGCGACATTTTGTCACCATCGTTCTTGGCTTGTTGAAGTACATATGCTTCAATAGAAAAACCAAAAAAAATCGGGTAGTAGCTAAACTGAAATTGTTCCCAATTATTTCCAACACTTTCAGATTTAAATTCAGTTCATTTATCCACACAATACCCATTTGAAAAATTGAAAAATGAACTTTGGTAATATAAATAAATACAGATACTTGAGATACTTTTTAAATATAAGCAGCAAACTGCATTTTTATAACTTACACCACGATGTGGATAATAATATTTACCTACATCGTGTTTAAACTCAAAGAACAAATCTAAAATTGACCTCCGGTTACAGTACTCCCGGTCGAGAAATCATCTGTACTACTAGAGAACATATATTATTTTGTTATCACTTAGTTTTAACGAATGTTCTTATTATCAAAAGATCATTATTAATTATTATTGTTCACAGCAATCTAAGGACGACGGGCCCACAGGCCACAGTTTACAATTTACATTTACCAGACTTAAGGGCTACGGTTTTTGTAGTCCCGTGATTTTATTTTACTGCCTATAAGATTTTTGTTGTTACCAAGCCGCGTTAATAAACAAGTTTATTATTTACGGATCGTCCAGGTAATTTGTGTTATTTCATGTATTCCAGTGATTATTTTGTTAAAATATTTTCACTTTTAGATTTTCTTGAATTATTGAGTTTGCGATGGACGACCACCACGTTTATGATACAAACTTCACTGAAGAAATCAACAATAAGATGCAAGTGCCAAAAAGCATTCGGGTGAATGGAGATGTTTCTAATTTTCGTTCATCAAATTACTACTCTGATGATAACAGCAAATTTGGTGACAATTTTGATATGAGGGTTCCAGAAAAAATTATCCTTATAGGTAAATTTTACTTTGATTTGCTTAATACTTGCTGTTTTTTTTTTTAGAAGGCTGAATGTTAAATTTTGTGTTGACCTTATATAATACCTCTGGTGTTATAAATTAAGTTAATTACATACAGACTTTTATTTTTCTGCAAGTATCACATTTTACTTTATAGTTTCAAACGTTTTGATATGAAAGAGTAAAGCACCAGCCATATTTGTTAAGTTTAAGAAATTATGAAAAACTTATTTAATTTTTGTAAATTCTTAGCTGATATTTTTCACCCCTAAGCATGTGTCTGAAATATTGCAGCATCCTAGATTTTAAATTCTTCATTACCTCTGGTTCTTTACCTGTTCTCCCCAAAACTTCTGCCTGTGTAATTTTATCAATCCAAGATATGTTGAGAATCCTACGGAAACACCACATCTCAAATGCTTGGAATTTTTGAATATCCATTTCCTTTAAGAGTCCAAGCTTCCATTCTGTACAACGAGGTGGAAAACACGTAGCACTTCAACATCCTAGTTCTTAAATCTAATGTTAGATATCTGTTTGAAAAACTTTTTCTTTGTTTAAAGAATTTTACTCCTAAAAATACAATTTTGAAGTGATGGTGACTTACTCCATTTACAATTTAATTTAGAATAACACGAATTTGGCAATGTTGAATTTTGAACTTAAAAATTCTCTTTATATATTTAGGCAAAAACCATTAAGAACACAAGTATTTTAGGCTGGAGTTATACTGTGTTTTTTTGCCACAGCGTTCAAATTCTTACAGTCTCCGCCTTAAAGTGGTGCCAGTGGGGTGTATCATAAAAAAATTGTTGTTGCTCAAATAATTGTTAGTGATCTACCCCACATAGTACTGATATACCGACCTATAAAATGTCTTATTTTTCTTCTACAAATACTCACCACCCCCACTCATGTTTTAAGTGTTGCCTGGGTGACACTTGGACCTTATGTTACATGTCACTAAGTAGTGCCGAATTAAATTGAAGTTCAAATAAATTGATTGACCCACCTACTCCTCACAAATGACTGTCTAATTATATGCAAATAATTTAATGACATTCCTAAGTTTAATAAAATCATAGCAAAAATACTGAAGTATTCTCTATTATTTCCCTGCCTACACTTCGAAGTACATATTTGGTAATACTAATGCCTTTAAACAGGTACCTTGCATTGTCTAAACCAGTTTGGATATAGTCAACACATACTATGCTTTACAAAAATGACAAAACAAATTTTATACATTAAGTACTTGCAGGTTAGAGGTATTTAAAATATAAAACCTCTAAATAGAATCCAAATATTGGATGTATAATACTATACTCGGTAGAATAATATTCAGACATGTCACATGCATGTAAAATACTTAGAAATTAAATTTAAATCTCAACTACTCTATAATTCTATTTCTATATGGTGTCATTTGGCCCACTAGAATAATTTCTGAGCAGCTTAGATTTTGAGGCCAATAGCTAATTTATAACTGTACATCTTTAGTGCTAGTATTTACAAGTTTAAAGAGTAAGAATATTCTTCTAAGGCAGTGATAGAAAACTGATATTTTGATTGAATTTCAAAATTATTCAGCGTCAAACTGTAAATGATCATGATAACATTTGAATTAGGGCATATAAAAACTTCCTTAGCACGTACATATAAAGTTTTGATGTAAGGTATTTAGTGTATTGTTACATTTTTGTATTTTAAGTTTGAAACAATGATTTTATTTACAATCATTTACAGTTAACATAATTTAGACATATGTGAATCTAAATTATTATAAATAAATAAGTTTTGAGTTCTTTAAGAAATAGACAATTTGATGGTCTGTTATTATGTAGGTAATAATCAGCATCAAGGATCTTCATCAAAACCAAGAGAATTTGCAATTGATGATTTGATCATTCCTCAGCCACCCAATGAAGAATTTATTCGTGTTCAGGTAAAATGTATTTGTTATATTCATATACTGTAACAATAATATTAACTGTCCAAAAATATATATGTTTTAGACTCCACCACAAAAAATCACCATGTCAAGACATTATTTTCCTTCTGTGTTAGATGACTTTGAACAGAAATCTGCATCTATTGAACAAAGCGAGGAATCGATTCCAAACAATTCTGAACCAGCAATTAATTCAGTGCAAATAGATCCCAAGTATTATAAATGTTTTACTGTTAATATACATAAATTCACATCTCTTTAAGATGTAGTCTTGTAATGTACTTGAGTATGTATTTTAAAAACTTTCTCAAAGTATCTGTGTTTAAAATAAAATACTTATTCTTATTAGCTTATAGATTTTCTATTTTAATTTTAATAACTTAAAAAAAATGTATAAATTGAGTGTAAAAATAATATATCTTTTTACTGTGAATTATACTCAACCGAAAATTCAAATACTTTGACACAAAGAAAACAGATGAGTATTTTATAGTTACACCAAAATGATACAATGTAAAATGTTCTATAAAATTAACAAAAATCATGAAAATCGGTTGAGTTAATTTATTAGGTAAAAAAATGTATTTATAAACAATTAGAAAAAATCAATAAATATTTTTTTTTACTGAGTATTAAAATATCTATTTTAAATCCTTTTTAAAAAGTATCATTATCTTTTTTTTTCTCCATGGGATCTACGATGCTGCTGGACTGCTTGCACATTTCTTCGACAGATTTATTTTTATACTTTTACTAGGCTGCTAGGATGACACTATACTGAGTTTTAAATTTATGTACAACTAGCGACTTAAATACTTTGAAACATGATTTTTGCTATTGATAAACAATAATTAATTATGTTCTTAATAAATTTATTAATTTGTGTAATTTTATTTTATTTTTTTTAAGTATGAGCTTCTTCAATGCAAGCATTAGTGAACCAATGACAATATCTGAAGAATTAGCTCACTTGCGCCAACAGATGGGTCGCGTGTCACGCCGAGTTATTGAATTAGAACATACGGCTTCTCTGCCTTTTTATGTCAGAGAGAAAAAGTTAATTGTCACATTGGTATGCAGTTATGTGGTTTTTAAGTTTGCATCATGGTTGACTAGACGTTAGAAGCATTTAATTTTTTTGCATGTGTTCCAATCTCCTGTAAATGCCATATTGACACTAATTTTATTGTTATATAGTATATTACTACAATGCCTACCTAAAAATAAGAATGAATCTTAAATTCACAGTTACTTCAATCACTTTGTGGATTTGCTATTTACTTAATGTTGTTATTGTTTTTAAACAACTTAATACAATTCAGTAAAATGTGTTTAACTTACAGAAATATAGAAAAATAGAATGTTTAAAATTCAAGTAATTGAAAAAAATAGAAAAATAGAATGTTTAAAATTCAAATAATTAAAAAAAATAGAATGTTTAAAATTCAAGTAATTAAAAAAAATAGAAAAATAGAATGTTTAAAATTCAAATATTGAAAAAAATAAAAAAATTTCATGTTTAAAATTCAAATAATGGTTATATTTTACTCTTTTAATTTGTTGTAACCATTTTTTAAACTAATTATTTACACATACTTGACATGCTATAATATATTATTTTATCACATGTGAAATATGTGTTTTTACATATGAAAATTCATCACAACAATTTAAAAAATATGTACCATACTAATAATAATTATATTACAAGTTAGTCTAGATTTACTGATTTGTATATTTTAAAGACAAGACTGCATCATTATTGAGTAGTTTTTAGGAATGTGTGATGTATAACCACCTTGATTTTGTTAAATTATAATACGATGTTGTCTAAATAAACTTTATTAAATAATGTATAATGTATTGAAAAATAAAAATAATAAAAATATCAATGTCAAGTTATTTCACATTGTTTTTATTCAAATTATGGTGAAGACTATTTTAAAAAATGTTCCTTAACATTAAAACGAGTTCAATAATTGTTATAAACTAATAATGGAAATTATTCATTCCATATTATGTACGATTAACCTTATTTTATTACATGATGTAAGTTTTTAGAAATTAAGCGTAATTAAAGTGTATGTTGTTTTCATGTAAACTGTTCCAGTCCAATTCTATTTTAATGAACTTCGTAAGACATACTTCAGGTGAGCAATGCCATTTTTAATTTAGGCAGCAATGGACTATACAATTCGATGAATTAATGAAGTATTAAATATTAGTTAAAGCTGATTCAATACATCAAAGCAATGACTTATGACAAAAACACTGGAATGGAAAATACAATTAAACAATATAATTAGTTGAATGTTGGAATGAATCAAAAAAATCCCGTAAATCGAATTGAATCATGTGTTGTGTACTCACTACCTATAACTCTTTGAAATCAATTTTGTTATTGCATAAGTACCTCCTACTAATTTATGACAACGCATTATCTATTCTGTCGAATTTTCATTTTTATTGTCTAATTTGTTCAAATCGTAATAATTGTCTGTTGATTTGAGTATTTTTATACTAAGAGTTTCAGGTTGTTCCGTACAAACTTGAATGTGATCTCTTGTCTGTAGTCTTATCACAATAATTGAATAATAAAATGTATGGAAATTAAATGAATTAAGTGTACCGGTGCCTATTACCCATGATATTTTTGTATAGTTATATTCAATGATATATTTTTACGCCGTGTAGGAACTTACAAATCTCGTTTTTATATTCTTTTAGGAATTTACACACCTCATATTATGTAGAAATTAACGTACCTACATAATTTGTTACCTGATGGGTGCTCTAGTGTAAGAAAGTCCCAGGTGTTAATGGATTTACTATCTATCTTATAGGTCAGGGATGGCAAACCTTTTGAACACTGCTTGCCCAAAATTAGTAATAACCTTTTTATTTTTTTAGAGCGTGCCATGAAAAAAAAATATTAAAAATATAATATTTTGTTATACTATAATTTGATTGTATAATTAATGTATCAGTATAAAAAGGTTAGTTTAGGCTATTTTAATTTATAGGTCCTATAATATTATATATTATATAATATATAAAAGTAAAAATTTTCACGCGCCCACAAAATCTTTTTCTCGGGCACGCGTGCCATGTATTTGCCGTCCCTGTTATAGGTATTCAATTTTCAACTATTTTATATTGATGCAATCATTAACAGGTAGGTACGCCACGCGAATTATTGTCGTCACTCAAACAGAGCCGGCGTTAGGTCATATTTGCCACCATGGTTGGTGAAATTTACTTAAATTGTTCTCATTGAGTACAAAATGTAATTTTTTAAGTCTTTTGATTTTTGATTTCAAAATTCAAAATATGTAATTACACACCGCGAATAAAATAGTTCGGTACGTCGGGACACGCTTATACTAAGTGAGTAGGACATAATCTCACCCTCTCTCTGTGTGCGCTCCTGATTTTACCAATTAGGTATATACAATATGGTAATTTAACAAAAAATAATTATATCGTAGTAGTTAGTAGGTAAATTGAGGTGCCCTGCTCTCCACCATCGTTCAGAATAGGTGTGTGATACTGAGATTATGATAGATACCTTTGATACTTAATGAGTACCTAATGACCATAGGCGTGTCCAGACCTCATTCGCAGTTCATGCATAACAGTGCCATATGCAGGGGAGGGGAAAACTACACCCCTCCCCCCACTACAATAAAAAATTCTATTAAGGTATTGAGATATGATCCCCGAATTTAAAATCTTAAAATTTAGATCAAATTGTGCAGGTCATGCCTGTCGCCTGTGCATGACAGCTGGCAAGACCCGTGGACACTCCTATGTTATGAACTAAGGTAGTGGAGGCAAAAACGGTGGATGATGAAAAATTACAATGAATTGGTTCAATTAGATAGGCACCTACCAATTACCATGTATCGGTTTGGCTCGGGGAAGTATGGTGAAAAAAAACAATAATTAATCGCAAAAACGATATGTATATTTTTAGGAAAAAAAAACTGAACATCGATATTATAATATATTGGCACCAAATTACTGCTAGCTGTCAACCATCCAGATCAGCTACACACGGTCGGGCCCAATGTATGCCACTCACTGAAAATGCAAACAAAATTAATCGTTATAGGTATGCCTTGTTGATACTTTTTTTTAAGTAGGGTGCACGCAAGTGACAAATATATATATATGTCAGAGTATAGCTGTTTTTTTATACCGTTGGATGAGTAATAGCCGTTAAAGTCAATCCTCAAGGCTAGTGTTTCCCGGCCTCGTGTCATGCTATCCTTAAGTTTTATCAAAAAGTCACCGAGTTCCGTCTGAAAAACAAATATCCAACTTTAAATCCTTTTGGACATTTCCTCGAGAACAAATAGTTTTATTTGAAACGTCACAGAGAATCTTTAAATCTCATTCTTTTCGCAAAGGTTTTATTTTTATTTTTGAAGTTATCCGAAAGATGTATTGATGTATATGTATACCTACTTCACAAAAGTGTGTTATAAAGAGGGAGCGATAAAAGAATTAAATCGAAAAGTAAAATAAATGCTGACAAGCTGTGGCAATGTCCCAGTTTCAAGTTTCAACTGCTCGCTAATTAATAATATAATATTAACTTTAGATAATATTGTACGCACATTGTTTTATCGTTGTCTAATCAATTTGAAGCCGAAAAAGCACTCGAAGTTCACTTTGAAAATTAGCAAGTTAATTTCAAATTTTTATTGATTATGCTTATTATATTATTTATATAAAGATTTCTTTCAGAAATTATAATGATTTATGGGAATATAATAATGCTATTTTAAAATAGGAAAATCTAGCATACTAGGAATATCTAGCATATTAAAATTGCAAATTATTAGTATTAATATTATAGGCATCAACGTATAATCTATAATAAATTATACACAATAATATTTTATTAAATAGATGAATCAAAAATATGGGATAAATAAAAGAGATCTTATTATATCATATATTGTCACATTATTTTTTGTGATATTAAATATTCTTTTAAAACTTGAAAAAATAAAATAAAAGAGAGAAAATCATAAAAATATTATAATAAGATTTAATTCAAAATTATTAGCCTGTGATAATACATTATAGTCTATAGATATGAAGAAATAATTTTTATAACCTCTCAGATTTTAGACAAATTTTCAATAAAATATATTTATATAGCCATAAGCTCATAAAGGTACCTAACTGGTATTAATAATAATAAATATTGTAAAAAGTTATGAAATATACAAAAACAAAATGAAAAAATGAAATATAAAACACAATTTTACGTTTTTAACATGAATAGGGAAACCTACGTCATTATGATGACATCATGCAGTCTTGATAGGTGTTTGGATTATCAATATTTTAATTGTGTTCGACTAATTCAATATGGAATAATAAATAGTAAGTCATGGTAAATATTTTATGCATTTAAAAAATGCAATACCCAGGTGTCCCGATGTCCGTTTGGGTTTTTACTCTAACCGAAACATATTTTATTTATATTCACAGTTGGTGCATACATAATATGACTGATGATAAATTATAAACTTAGCATATTATACATTATTCCAATTGAATTACGTCTACTTTTGCTTTTAAATATAGTTAACGATTTTATGAACATTTTATTTCGTCACCTCGTATTGTTTTTTTATAGCTCCGAAATTGCCCATAAATGCATTTATCAAATTATTTTCTTCACAGCGTTTGATGTATTTCCGGGTCTTCAGTTTTTCGGACGACGGCAATTCCACCGTATCAATGAAACAACGGAAAACATTCAAAAACCTTTCGACTTGTATATTCAACGATTCAACATACGAGTCCAAAGACTGTGAAAACAATAATAATTTACATCTATCCAGCGCAGTAGCCATATTTTTTTTTCCGGGGGGCACATTTTTTTCTTTAGTTTTGTTAACGCTAGAATACTTACTTATTACAGTATTATCAGTTATCACCTATATATCTCTTTACGACCCATTCCATTTGTTTATAAAGTGTTTAATACACATGTACTTTTTTCTCGTGACTGCACAAGTGTACTATTATTATGTTAGCAACTATGGTTGGTGTACATGAATGCAGTATTAACATTATTGTAAATTTTTAAACCACTCTGATTAATGCATTAGTTAATATGAGTATATTATTATTATGTGTTATGAGCATTACAGTTCATTTTTTATTCAAAACATTATATATCATCAACACGACCATTACTTATTACTTTTGTCAAACACATAATAATAAACCTAATATCAATTAAGCCATAACTGACCTTACACGAAAAGGATAGCTAAAAACAAAGGAGATTATGATGATGCAAATTAATCGTATTAATCATACAAATTATAGGAAATTTCTGCGCACTATACACTACGTATGTACGACCCATAAAAAAAACAAAAAGAAGTTTCAGGGATATGCACTCGGTACTTCCCCTTCCCCTAGCCGCTGCACTGCACCTGCCAACATTAATATTTCAACAAAGTCCATGGACTATTCGCTCATGCACAATTATTACAGTTTGAAAGACACTTCCAAGGACTAAATTTATATTATATACACTAGACGGTATAGATCAATATTTTGCTTCGAAGCCAAAGTAGGAAGGTATATAATAAGCGTATTCCTACGGGTTTTGACTTCACAAATATTTCCGATTAAAAAAAAATCGAACATTGTCATCAAACATCTCTTAAAGACTATACAGTTCACTTTATTCAGTTTATTGTCTATGTATAATAATGTTATAATATGTTCACATTGGTATGTATACCTATATTTATTTTAATTTTTAATTTATTATATTGTTATTTAAACTTATTATCTGAAGTTTGTTGGAATAATGATTGATCAGAGTTCAAAAGTTGTCAAAGTGTTTACATTGCAAACTTATTAATTCAATTTATACTAACAAAAGCACAAATCAAATTGTACATTTTTAAGTTTTGATGGATAAATGTACACATTGAAGGTTAGATAAAAAATAAATAAATTTCTTACTTTCAATTTATAATAGAAAATCTCAAACATTATACGGAATGGCTCAAAAAAACACGATATATAGGTACCTACTATTTTATGTTTCTAAAAATATAAAAAAAAATTTTTATTTATTATAAAATTTATAATTTAATTATATAGGATATTTATTTATTTAGTGTGAGTAACAGGGCAAGTTCAAATTGCGCACACTGCAATAAGATAAAACATATAATATAGATAAAAATAAACTAATATGCGATACAGTGCAATTTAGTTCAATATAATTTTAAAGAAAAATGGGAGGGACAACATTGGAAATGGCTAATATGCGCTTAATAGATTAATTTGATATATTTTAAAGTTTGTGGTGGATAGTGGAGTGAAAAATACGAAAGGGTAAGTGAATAAATTCTAGCAGATACGCGCGATATTATTGAAGAACTTGAGATTTAGCACACGTCTTCCGCAGTGATGTTAGCTAGGGGATTGAACCTTGTATCATAGAACACTAGGTTACTGTATACGCCACTGTAGGGTACTATAGAAGTTTTAAAAAAACAAGGATAATGAATACAGAAACAATAACAAATATAAAAGGTGTCGATAAAAACTATTGATAAAACATAAACTTATTATAATGTACTACATATTACCTAAACATAAATAATTTATTTAAATTGTCTATACAAGTATTACAAGTATCACTAGGAACTGCGGAAGGTTTTGAGTGGCCCTGTGCAAATAAAGTTTTAGGGGCTCTAACTTAAGGCCCCTTATGTTAAATGCAGAGTCCCTCACTAGGCGGGGCGCTTTGAAAAGCAGTCTGCAACCCTAGCGCCGCCGCTGAGTATCAGATAAGTACTCAAGTACGAATTGTATACGTCATTGATTGGTTAGAACCCATAACACAAAAACGTATATATCGAGTAAAAATATTAGACAAATTAAAGTGTTCTTGTCAAAATCAAAGGTTTTGGAGAAGTTATAGTTAGGCTATTGTGGTATTACTTACCACAGTTCCGTCATCCACACATTTCGTAATTGATTCCAAAAACGACATATGAGCATCCGTTACCGTTTTGATGCAAGTAGCTCTGTGGATTTCACTTTTGAACTGTTCCCATTCATCGTTGATCGTCTCAAACACGAAGTTTTGAATTTCGTTAACACAGCTCAACATGCTTGACAGTAATGTGTTTATGTTTCTCAAGACCGGTTTCAGTTCTATTTATCAAAAGTAAAGGTGTTAAGAATTAAAACTAAAACTAAGCAAGTGCAAAACTTGGTAGACCCGTAAAGGCGTGACTGGCGTAAGCTACTGGAAGAATAAAATATATTTTTACATATCAGGTAACGAGTATTATACGACTAACGAGTATCATTATACCTGTAGCGGTTATCATTTCGAAAGCTGTTATGATATATTTTATGAATCTCCCGAAATGCGTTTCATAACTTATAATTATCATTAAAAATGAAGAAAATGCATTAATGATATTGTCAAAAAAAAAATTATAACATAATATTATTACTTAAAAGATAATATATAATATTTTAACGTATTATAAATTATAATTATGTAGTTCAATTGTTATACGCGTTTGATTATAATAAGAAAATATGTGTGTTGCTAATCTAAAATTGTTAAAGTTTTAGTAGGTATACAAATTACGAGAATTTCGAGAATCATTCAATAAGCATCATGTGTTGTTATCTATAATTTGAAAATTTTTAATTAACTCACCAATCGTGTGGTATGATTTCTTCACAAAATAGGCAAGTTCATGCCACATCTTGTGTGTAGTCCAATCTACATTTTTCAGTCGCCATAGGAATTGAAAAACCTTCGCGTAGTGGATGAAACAAGAACCGAATATCTGAAGTGGACACACTAAATAATTTTCAAACAGTATCCCATGTGTGATTATACCATGGTAATGATGAGATTTACTTGATTCAATGGTTCATCAGTCTTGTACTCGAACTTGATACTATTCCAGTTCACCTTTCCAACAGTGTCGATTTGGCATTTTAGGTTATTGAACAGTTCCTTGCTGTCATTTTTAGCGGATGTTAAAGCGTATGCATTTTTAATAATATCTTTCAACTGATAATTGTAAATCTCATTATTTCCGAAATACGGTCTATAACAAAAAATGTTTATAGTGTCAAATGTGGAGGTTTAAAACGAATTTATACTAAAATCTTACTCCAACTTGTGTATAACACAAGTGTAAAAGTCTCCACGGCCGAGCAACATGTAATTTCGAAATCCTTCAAAGTGTTGAAACAAATTGTAATCGTTTATTAACACTTCCATCATTAAAGCGGACGATTGATCACAAGTTTCGGATATTATTGTTGATATTTTACTACATTTGTCAGTCAACATAATAACGAGTCCATCTGAAAACGCATAAGTACTTACACATTTCTTTTAACTAAAATGTTTACCTATTTAAACCAGTTCTGATTACCTCCATTGGCAGCTAGGATTTTGATATTTTCTCTAAGTTTTTCAATTTTTGCGTTCATCTTTGGACTAAGCAATTTTAACAATAAATTCATGTTTTTCCCAGTTTGATAAATATCGTTTAACTGATATTTGTTCAAAAATTCTAACGTGTTAGTTGAGCTATATCAAAATTAATAATAGTTATAAAAATAGATTTTTGAATAATTTTCATTACATTTTCCACTAACCTCAATGCGTGTCTGTTATTCCAATAACTTTCAGACGAATTTTCTATTATAAAAAAATCACCATGTTCGTCTTCTATTTCGCCGTCCTTCATCCAATGGAGGATCATTACCTGTATGGGTTTGGTGATCTAAAGCAAAAACGTATCATTCAATGAACACAATTCCTAGAAAATATTATTACCTCATTCAACATTTTATTCTCAATTTCGTGAATACTAGAGCGTATCACGGACGATATTAAATTGCAACCACTCTTGCCTTTGGCATTCTTTACAATTTTCGCTAGACACTGGAACCTTATTAGAACATCGTGGTCTATAGGGATACATGTGCGTAAGCATTCCTTAGAATGTTCTAGTACGTCAAAGTTGGCATGTAACTAAAATACAATAAAATAAACTTAGGTACTAAGATTTTTCATTAAGAATTATTTCTAAAAAACCGGATTCCCGTTGATCATCATTCAAAAACAAAAATATTACTTACCCACTTGTTTACATAAGTGTAATAGGAATTAATTTTCTCTTGTAAGCTAAATTTTAAAGCTTTGGCTACAAGACCACTGTGTTCTTTGTCGTCGTTAACGTAGTCTTTGATAATTTTATGCAGACGTCCAAGTTCACTCGCATGTTTTACCACAAATTCTAAATTTGGAATTGTTATGCACGTGGTGTCATTGTCCGATTTGACCCATTTCATACCTTGGCCATATTGTGTCAAATTTAGAAGCAGTTCTCGTCCAAATTGTATACGTGCGTCTAAAGAAATCAAATACTTTGCTAAGGAAGAACTACTAAATATTTCAGCTGTATGATCTTGGATAGAAATAAATATTTTGAAAAAATTCATAATTTTTAGCCCTGCGTACATTTCACTTACATTTTTTCAAAATGAATATAGTTTTTTCATAAGACTTTATTTTTAAAATATTTGAGTAATTTTTTCTTATTATAAAGTGTATATTGTTACTGTCAGTTGAAATTTACAAAAATCTGTTTTTCACAACATTTTAAACGTGTTAATTTTATACTTGATATAATGATCCCCAATATTGTTAGATTACTATTTATTTTTGGTACACTGAGAAGACGAAATCTGACAAAATCTAAATTTGTAATGAGCTGATTTTTATAATTTTCATAACCCTATACAATTTTTATATTATCTTACAACTATTACTCATTATAACTCATTATTCATTAGTATGAAAGAGACAAATTAGGGTAAATAATTATGGAAACAAAGAAATGTTGGAAAAGAAACAGTTATTAGATTATTTATAAATTTCAGTTTATCTACTCTAGCTTTGTCAATTTCGTTATTAGAAAAAATCTTTAAACATAAACATTTATTGAAAAAAAATAAATTCAAACTGAATTTGTAAAAAAAAAAAATGGCTTTGAACAATAAGTTAGTTGTATTGCGCTTGAGCGTACTAAAATGCTTAACATTTTGAAATTTTCCAAATATATATTATTATATTATAAGTAACATAATATTTAAGTACTTTCTTTCACTTCCTAAAAATTCTATTTCAATCCAAGTTTATCCTGCTAGAATATTTAGTGGTACACACTGCATGTTATTAAATATTATATAATTTGAACGGTTTACCTGTCAAAAAATTTATTCTGTTTGATGGTAAAGAAAAATGGTCATTATCTTTTTTTTCAACCAAACCGTATGATGATTTGGTTGCATTTTGATAGGATTTGTCATCCTTAAGTTGTTTTCGTCCAAAATATTGATGACTAAATTCATTCCGACCAATTATCTGTAAAATATAGTTACCTTTTTAATAACTCATCTTGGGTGAGTATGCGTCTAGTAATTTACTTGATCAGATTGCAGGAATGATGCTTTCGATTTATTTTGTTGTTCTAATAATTTGTGACAAATTCGAAGTACAAAATCCGTGTCTAAAGGATCCTAAAAAATAATAGAAAGTAATATACCTAGTTACAATTCAATGAAAATTCATGTTAAGTTTAATTACATTTTTGTTTTTCAAATCAATAAACAGTGAAATAAACTGTTCTTTTTGAGGTGATTTTAATCGTTCCATAATATTATCTATTGAATCTGTCTCTCCAGGATGGCTTTTTAATATTCCCGTGTAAATCGTGTTGTACAATTCATTTGTAAAAGTATTTCCAAAATATTCTTGAATAATTGAATGGAACATATTATCGTAGTTTAATTTATAATTTATAAACTATGTAATAATTATTAACAACAACTTACCATTTGAATTGATCATTTTAATTATTACGAATTAGTAGATGTTGTTTTATAACTTTAAAATAATGAAATATCCCTCAATTAATCAACATTTGGTTTTATCAAATGGATATTTCATTACAGTTTATTAAATAACATAGATATTATAACATATTATACCTATCACGCATATAACCTACTTTTGCGATAACATGCAATTTATTACTAATATTAGATATCAAAAATATTTTATGTGATGAACATAGATGAATATGTTTATATACCCGTGGTGATGGATTAAAATTGCAGTTGGACCATGAACAATGAGCTGATTTGGATTCCATCAAGATTTTCACAGATCAGTGTATGATTGATAAAGATGTATAGAGATAACGTCACAGTGCATATTTTATATGAATGGCTTTCTATATTAAGGCGGATTTAGGTATTAGTCCACCTTGGCTTTGAAATAAGACTTTTAATAAATACAATTTTTAGAAACTTATAGAACATCGATACACATATTTTTTAAGTTTCAAGACCTTCCTCTGTTACTCTACTTGTGAGTTGTGTGTAATGAAAATTATTTATCTTATAATCTTATATAACAATTTGCTATGATTATATTGTTACAAATTTCCAATAATATTTAAAAAATCATAAATCTATTGATATTATTATTTTCCCTTGGCTAGAGTAAATTAGAAAATGTAAAGATCGTAGAACGAGTATCAAGTTCTAGCCGAGTGTAAAATTTATTTTGTTATATTTTAATTTGTGATTTATGCATGTATACATACGCGTAATTTCAGTAGATAATACACAAATTATAATTGTATTTATATTAATTGTATCACAGACCACAGTATGTCTGTATTATTATGATAAATTACAATTTCAAGTAGGTATTAAATATTTTGTCTTTTTTGTATTTATTGTAAGCTGCCTGAATTTGCATATTATAATTATGATTAGTATCCAACTGTTATTTTTAGTTTATAAACAACAATCATGGCATACTACAATTTTTCATATTTACTGTTGTAATGTCCTTGTCGTCTGGATTTCAGCTACGATAACTTATCAAATTTCAAGCTGTAGGATAATGGTATTTAGTTATGAAAATAAAAGTTATATAGTAAGTATTTATTTTAAGTAACATACATTATATTTATCTCTATGTATTTAAAAAACGATACGGATATTTAGGGTTGAGTACTCTTTTGAGTGCCTGACGATATGACGTAGAATAGTAGTGCATTATAATTATGAATTGAAATTTAATGAACTTATGAATAATGATACATAATAACATTCGAAAATTCGAAATAATATAATAAGTGTTTATCGAATGTTGTATTCAAATTTCAATATGTGAGATCTATTACGAAAAAAAATTCAAAAAAGCCATTTTAAAAGAGCCACTTGGTTGTTTGAAAATAATTTTTATATACTTACAAGTAATTTTTCATTATTAATATTCATCGTCATCATCATTATCATTATCATCATCGCCATCATTGTACAATCCAACAAAGTTTTTCTTTTTAATTTGTAATTATATAATTGTTTTTAATAAAAAAAAAAAAATACTTTGCTAATTGTGTTCTCTTAAATTAACTGTTTTTAATACATTTCTTAGTTTTTACTATGTAAGTTGATTGATTCGCTGAAAAAAATAACCTCGGAAAACATAACCCCGAAAAATAATCCAATAAAAAAATATATAGGTATTACATTACATGTTGTTTTTTTAAAATTAATATGGCTAAACATTTAAATGTAAATTTATCATAATTTTTTATTAGGGGTTATTTTTTCTCAGTGCTACATGTTAATGATTAACAACTGTTATCTTGTTTTTGTATTAGCCTACAATTTGTACCCTCAAAAATTGTGGTTTGGCGTATACAAATAAATAATAATAATAATAATACTAATATTAAAATAAATTTTAATATTCTGCAGTTTACTTAATTGTTGTTACAACTTATAAGTTATAATACGTGATATAAAATTATGCTATTAATATTATTGTGCCTCATTAATATTTAGCAGCGGTGACCATAAGAAATAATTGATACAACCGTCAGCTCCTGGTTGAACATAGATCGTACATTCGTACGTATATAAACTCATAAGTGGTCAATAAAATACGAATGTTGTTGAACAATAGTAAAGTTCTTGTTCAATTAATTTAACACGGTAATTAATAATATCAACACTCTCATGCCGAGTTTATAGTATATAGAATATACAATTATTTTCTGCACCATTATCGTGCCATAAGTATGTTCATTTATTCATTATATAATCCAAATATTTACTTAATTCATTTCAATAAACACGCATTATAACTCAACGTAATAACGTCATACATTTTAAAATAATTTTAATATTATAAAATAAAAAAATTATGTAATAATTTAATGACACGACCTACGCGATAAAAAATGTATGTATTTACCTATAACTGTAAATTGGCCTTAGTGACTTATAAGATGTTTGAAAACTGAGTTAACAACCATTATGCAAAGAGAAAGACACACACACGCCAGATTTCAGGATAATCATGTTTGTTGTTTAATAATTAAGATACATATACTGAAAAACTAAGTGCAACCGTTTTCACTGCGCATAAATGGTCTCCCCCCTCCCACAATTCTGAAGTCATACTCAATTTATATCGGCCACCCCTAAACAAAATTATAACATAATATTGCGTACCACAGACGACTGTCGACCTCTCGTTTGTCCTATGTTCAGTAATCAAAAAAGTGCCGAACTCAATAATATATTGTGAAGCCAAAACAGTATTTGTGTACCATCGTCCAGGCATCAACCACTCGACCAAAATTATTATATGAATAGCGATCGCTTCACTTCATGGCGTGTTCGTGTTTAGGTTCATTGCCACTGCGGGTCCTATTTATAATATAATATTTTTAATTTATTCGAAAACAATTAAACCTCTTTCTGGCATTGTATGTTGGGTGTCAAAACATGCAAAGACATGTAAAGTAGGTACTATACAGAGTGACTCACCGAGCATGCTCGCCCCTTTTTTCTTCAATAATATGATTATAAATCGATTTTTGAAAAATGTAAAATATTTAAAGGCCATATTTTTAAAATTCTTGAGATTTTATCTTTGTACTACGTTCTTTACGTTCTTACACAGAGTATCCAAATTAAGATACAAACTTCTGTGATTCAAATTAAAAACTTCAGTACCTCATCCCCTTTAAGTAGTACAAAAAATGTCGTGAAATGTCAAAAATGGTTTTCCAGTATATTATTTAAAAATTTCATAACCTAACCTAACCTTATTTAAGGTAAAACGGGGAGGGGGAGGGTGAGCATGCAACATCCTGTATATAGTAGGTACACATCCGACCGCGATCTTAGAGACGTTTTTGCTCAGCCTATGACCCATACGTGAATCGAGCTGCAATGACCACCGGACGAGGTTCCATTAGTAGTCGAGCACGAACGTCTCATACAGGACGCATCCGTAAACGGAAACAATAATATTATAATAATATGCAGGGCTCGTAAGTTCATGCATTTGCATGTTTTTTTTGCTACACAGAAAAATATGCTAACTGAGATACAAATCCGTTTCATAACAATAGTAATAATAATATGAAGTTTAATAATGCATGTTTTTGCATGTTTTAGGTGTAAAGGCATATTTGGCATATAATCGTTTTTTTAGAGTTTATAGCGCATATTATTTCATAAAAAAATTGTTAAGAAAAATATTTGAAATGTTTCTTGTTTCTTATTTACTTTCCCGTTTACCACAGAATAGAACAATGAGTTTACTGAATGATAGTGTTTTGATTTATTTTGATTTTCGTGTGACTACTGACTTTTCTAGTATTTCCCTATTTAGATTTTATGCGTTTTACTTAGTACCGCGGAAACAATTCCGTCGTCGAAACGATACCTGTGCAAGCATGTACAGGTGTCAGGTATGTAGTGTTCTTGCACACGCCAGTCGTCGATGAGTTGTTTAACTGTAAGAGTCGTGAAAATGTCAAATAACTAATATTTCATTCCAAATATTTTCATTGTAGGTGCAGGATAATGGTGTACAAAAATTAGACAAAAAATGACTACCTAATTAAAATCAATAAAGATGACAAATCCATATGATTATATGAACTTCACAAGTATTCATTTTATTAATTTTGGTTGTTAAATATATAAAAATTAAAAGGAATAAAATACTTTTAAAATTAATGGATATATTCTTATTATTTTAAAATTTGCTCATAAATATTTTACATAATGCATATTTTGAGTGCATAATTTAAAAATGTAAGGGCATTTAAATGCATATTTTCGAACTTTTTAGTGCATATTTTAATGCATATTTTGCCAATTTTTAGTGCATGAATGCATGCTTATTTGTGCTTTTTTTAGTGCATGAACTTACGAGCCCTGATAATATGATATAATAACGTCCGGTCGTGGCGAGGCCGGGAGGTACCTGCTACACGGGCGCGGGGCATAATACTTCCGGAAGTCCGTGTGTCGACTGTCGAGGATCACACCGATCCCCCTCAAGTCGAAACACCTATATATATGTATTATAATACACAGGTATAACACTCACTCTTGTCATCGGGTTCGTCATTTTAATCTGATTTCAAAATATGAACCAACTACTTATATAATATAATATAGGTATTTATTATATTTCATTTCAATCGGTAACAGAGTCAAAACAGATGAATGTTGTTATTGCATATAATATTGTGTAATTGACCGATATATTAGTGTTGGCGGGATATGTTCACGCTTGTATTGCGTAGACGTATAATGTTATATTTAATGTTTAGAACGAAGGAGTTATATTGTTATTATAAGTGTAATAGGTCGGCAACAACAATCACTACACATAAAACGGATCAATAATTAACAGTGAGATAGCTAACGGACCCTTAAACATGACTTAGTGGCTCATGATTGGTCTATTGAATTTTATTGCACCATTCAATTAATTCCTTTTTTGATGCAACCCTACATCAA